TCATCAAAGACGTGGTGGCTGAGAATTTGGCCCAAGGGCACCCTCAACTTGGCACGGGAAGGGGGCCTTGAGAAGATCACAGCCCTCCTGCAGGACCCTGCTGTGATGGGGCCCCAAGTAAGATGGAAATCCCTGGGGGAAAAACCAAGCCTGGCTTAGCCTAGTGTTAGATCTTAAGTAGGCCTAGTCTTTGCTCTTCTGCGGAGCAGGCAGTTTTCATTCTCCCCTGTACATCTGTTTTCCATGGACCGTTAAGATCCCAAGGTGTACTCATGTTACTTTGTTGAGCCCCAGCTCAAGTCTGGGATCATGCCGGGTATGCAAAGGCCAATAAAGATACCAGGGGTGAAAGTATAAAGAAGATTTATTGCTAGCAATAAAAGGTGCAAGCGGAATAATTTCACATAACAAGCACACAGATTTTTAATTCTAAGCATCTTTTATACAGGAGTATTGGACCTTCATAAGCATTCTTGTTTGCTAATTGGTTATAAAGGAGTGATGCAAGGAGTTCTTTACTGAGCATGTCTCTATACCTGTGTTTTAGCTATGTATGTTTCATTAGCATACTTTCTCCCCACCTAGGGGTGTAATTTTTAGTATTTTAATTAGCTCTTTGCCCTAGTCCTCTGATTCTGCTTTTGTTTTCAAGCCTCCTTTATCTAAGACTGTCTCCTCCTTATTATTGCAGATGGGCGTTAGTTACATAACGGAGACTTTTGCTTGGGCTTTGTATAGTGGTTTCTAGGTCAAACCTCACAACTTCATTGCACATAGTTTGGGGGATGGAGGAAGCCACAGTTTAATTGTGTGGGGGTTGCAGGGTGGGGTGGGGAGAGAAAGGAAGGGAAGCATTTGAATCCAACATGTTTTTAGTTTTGAGACTACCCTAAACTTGTGTGTAAAACAAAACAACAAAACCCCCAACTCATTCCTCAGCACATCTCTGGCGCTGGTTGCCTTCTGGATAGCAGCAGAGAGCTAAATTAGCAGCCTATCTGTCCCTGTTTTATACCAGGTTTTTAAATCGCATCTCAAATCTCTCCTTTCAGTCTCCCAAGAGATTCTGCTCCAGTATTTTGGTGGGGGTAAAGTCGCTCTTAATAGTTCAGAGGCACAAGCTCTGGTTTAGTGCTCTGTTGCATTACCTCTCTTTAGTACCAGCTGCAAATTTTAATTATTATGCTGTTTTCCCCTTCTTGCAGTTCATTAATAAAGATGCTAAATGCAAATGGGCCTACAAGGATCTCTTCAGTACACCCCTGTCACTCAGTAAATACACAGTCACTTATAGAAACATGGAACCTCAAGGGTCATCTAGGCCAACTCCCATCTGCTTATGGTTCCTTAAGACCATTTTCTTTTCATCTCATTCGCAATATCTAAGCCAATGTGAACTAATAGGCTTAAAATAGACTTTGGGAGATCCAGTATCAAAGAACATTACATATAATGTATTCCTCTTGGCCACTACTCAAGTAATTTGGGCAAAGAAAATGAGCATCTTGATTTGCGGAACTAATGTTGCTTTCTTCTGTCTACAAGGAATCGCATCAAAGGGGGCAAGAGGGTGCAAAAGCCCCCATGGCTCACCAAAAGCATATGGGAATGTATGCCTCCTTTCTAGCTAGAAGACACCCAGTGGAAGGAAGGGGCCATCACCAGGGAGGACTGTACCTCGGTTGCTTGAGGCTGTAACGGGGCAGTCAGGAAGGCCAATTTGGAGATGGAACTGGGACTAGCTACCCAGATCAAGGACAACAAGAAGTCCTTTTTTTTAAATGCATAGGGGGTAAAAAGAAGGTACCCCTGCAGAACACGCTAGGAAATCTGGTTGTTGCACCAGACAGCGAAAGCTAACTGATTTTAACAATTTCTTTGCTTCCACTTTTTCTGAGCAGGGACCGGGTCACACTCCCTTCCCCCCCCCCCCCCCCCCCCCCCCCCCAGGGGAGGCGTACACAGGCCTAGGGTCAGTGAGGACCTAGTCGGGGAACTTCTGGTGGGACTGTACTTATTTAAATCAGCTGGTCCTGATGTTCTCCACCCTGGAGTGCTGAGGGAATTAGCAGAGGTCATTGCGGGACCCCTGGCAGGGCTTTACAAGCACTCATGGTACTCTGGAGTGGTGCCAGAGGACTGGAAAAGGGCCAATGTGGTTTCCACTTTCAAAAAGGGTGGAAGGAGGACCCAGGAAACTATAGGCCAGTTAGCTTCCCCAGGACCAAGGTAAGACTTTTTGAGAGAATTATCCTGGCGCATGCCCACGAGGGGCCAGCAGGGGAGATTATGCTTAGTGGCAACCGACATGGGTTCATTAGAGGCAGGTCCTGTCAGACCAACCTGGTGGCCTTCTGTGACCAGGTGACAAAATCCTTCAACACGGGTGTCGTGGTGGATGTAGTCTTTCTGGACTTTAGGAAGGCCTTCGACACAGTCTCTCACCCTGTTCTCATTTAAAAAAAAAACTAGGGGACTGTGGTGTCAACACCTACATGGTCAAATGGGTCACTAACTGACTGGAGGGCTGCAGCCAGAGAGTGGTGGTGGGCGGGTCTTATTTGACCTGGAGGCATGTGGGGAGTAGGGTCCCCCAGGGCTCGGTCCTTGGACCCGCACGCTGTTCAACATCTTCATCAGCAACTTGGACGGGGATGTAAAAAGCACCCTGTTCAAATTTGCAGATGACACTAAGATGTGAGAAGTGGGCACACTAGAAGGGAGGAATAGGCTGCAATTGGACCTAGACCGGTTACAGGGGTGGGCGGATGAGTATTGAAACCCATCCTGTTCTGACAAGTGCAAAGTACTGCACCTGGGGAGGAAGAACCAGCAGCATACCTACAGGCTGGGGAACTCCCTTCTTGTCAGTGCAGAGGCAGAAAAGGATCTTGGAGTCATTATTGATGCCAAAATGAACGTGGGCTGACAGTGTGGGGATGTGGTCAGGAAGACCAACTGTACCTTGTTATGCATCCACAGATGCATCTTGAGCAGGTCCAAGGAGGTGATCCTCCCCCTCTGCGGCACTGGTCAGGCTGCAGTTGGTGCCCAGAACTGGACGCAGTACTCCACACTTCAGGAGGGATGTGGACAGCATTGAGAGGGTCCAGAGGAGGGCCACCCGCATGGTCGGGGGCAGCAGGGCAAGCCCTATGAGGAGAGGCTAAGGGACCTGAACCTGTTCAGCCTCCACAAGAGAAGGCTGAGGGGGGGGGATCTAGGGGCCTGTTACAAACTAATTGGGGGAGACCCACAGGCATTGGGGGAGTCCCTGTTCCCCCAAGCACTCCCAGGAGTGACTAGAAATAACGGTCACAAGCTGGCAGAGGGGAGATTCAGGCTAGACATCAGGAGGTGCTACTTCACTGTCAGGGCAGCTAGGATCTGTAACCAACTTCCAAATGAAGTGGTGCTGGCTCCTACCCTGGGGGTCTTTAAGAGGAGGCTGGATGAATACCTTGCTGGGGGGGTTTGACCCCAGTCCTCTTTCCTGCCATGTCAGGGGGTCAGACTTGATGATCTGCTCAGGTCCCTTCCAACCCTACCAACTATGAAATATCATCTTCCAAGTTAAACACAATCACAGAGACCACAGAGGTTGAGATCTGCTGCTCCAACCTTTTTAGACTTGAAGTACCCCTTGGAAAATGGCAGCTCTTACTCCTTTTTTGAGAGACAGTCTAGATCAGTGGTCACCAGCCAGTAGATCTTGATCTACTGGTAGACCTTGGAGCCTCTTGGAGTCAATCCAAGGCTGGGGTGGAGGGGTGAGTGCCTGCATGCATGTGTGCACCTCATGGGCTGACCTGCTGGGCTGGGGGAGGGAACAGGCAGGGGTTAGATCAAGGCCCTCATGGTGAGGGACAGTGTTGCACAGGCAGGAGCAGGGGTAAGCTGAGTGAGGCCATGGCTTGGTGGGACTGACCTGCTGGGGAGGTGTGCCCCCAAATAAATGTTTTTTCTTTCTGCCTCGATCTGTCCCCCACTTCCCTTCCCACAGACTTACTGGGGGGGGGGGGGGGGGGGCATTGGCACATGGTAGATCCTGGGTTGCTTTTAAATGCCAAAAGGTGATTTCCTACTTTTAAAAGGTTGGAGACCACTGGTCTAGATAAATACAGAAGAAAAATTACAGAAGGTACAAGACTGTCTGCAACACTGAAAAAAAATATTAATTTGGAAGTTTGGCAAAATGGCTACTAGCCAGTTAAAGCTACAGTATTTTAAGTGGTGTAACCTTGTTCATACTCCATGATCGCACACTAAGACCAAATATTAAGGAGGAAATCACACAGACATCTGCTTATTGGTTTCTATAAAACATGAGAAACAGGGTTTTGGGGAATATATCTTATTGGATTAGATTTATAGCTGGGAGAGATGTTAGATAAGCTTTTGGGTACAGTTGGTCCAATAAAGCATGCCATTCAAAAAACAAAAAAACCCAAAACTTGCTTCTCATGTATTCCTTGGATCACTATGGCCACAACACTCCTATCATACTCCATGAAACATGATAGGAACAACTGGTAGGTGTGTAAAGGTTTACAAAGTCTTCAAGAAAAATGATGTTAATGTGTAAGGAGTCACATTACCTCTTTTGGAATATATTCTGGGTGGGTGGGATGGAGCCTCAGCCCCAGAAACCTGGTGCTAGAAAGGACTAGAAAGTTCCTCTTCCACCAATTTCTACATATCTCCACTGGGGGGGCAGGGCATGAGATAACAAGAATTTACTGAGTAGCTCCAAAGTGATTATTTCCCACAAATTCATTCATAAAACTTTAGTCCCAATGTTTTTTACCTGGCCACCCACTTAAAAGCCCATGAATTACATCTCTGATCTTAAAATCCAACTAAACCAGCCAGCTTCTTTATTGGTTTGTGCTTCTGGCTTTGTTAGCCAGGGAATGTTCTCCCAGTGATGAAAGCTTGCTGGTGATGTTGGACAGGAAGGAGCTGTAGGCTGTGCTGCCAGGGCTTTCTTACCTGTTGTGACAAACAAACAGTAATGAGGATGCAGATGCTGCAAGGTAGCCATAAAGATGAGCAGTTATTGTTCTTACACCAACTGTATGCTCAGACATGAGCCCAACTTGCCAAATCCATCTTCTAGCAGTCAGAATAGTCCGCGTGGGTGGATGACCAAAGCACTGGATTGTGACAAAGTCCCATGGGTTCTATGTATACTTAGCTTTGCCACTGCTTCTGGGTTGCCCTGGCATGTTGCTTGACCTCTTCATTTCTCCTCCTGCTGTTCGTATATCTTGTCTCCTTAGACCAGGGCAATTCTCACCTTGTGGTGCCCTGAGATTTTCAAGGGTGCTGCCAATATTAGTACTGTTAGCTATACAAACACCTACACATCATTCACAAGAGAAACCAAGACATTTCAAATAGGAATTTGTAGTATCAAGACCGTTCTGACCTGTTGTGGTTTTCTTGAATTCTTTGCAACAGAAGAATTGGTCTGTTGCTCTTTTCATGGTCAAAAAGAGTGAAACTGGATTCTGAAGTGAGGTGCTGCTAAATTCAGCAGTCTGGAAGGATGCCTGGACTAAAAGAGTTGAGTACCACTGCTTTATACTGCAAGCCCCTCAGGTTGGGTGCTATCCCCTCCTAAGTGATTGCATAGAGCCCAAAACAATGTTGCTCCAATCAACTGAACTTCTTCCCCCATTCTTGCCAATCAAATCTATGTGTAAATTCAGACTTTCCTTCCAATATTTTTTTGCTTCCAAAACTGCAACTGGTCCTAGCAGAAAGTCGGCCTGTAATGGCTTCCACATAGCTGTAATGCTCCCTTAGGGCCAAGTTAATCCTACCTGTTGATCGTTCCCCAGCTCCCCCTAACCTATCTGCCATGCCTTGAAGTAGACAGCTGTCCCTGGGGCCAGGGTAAGATCTTTGGTGTCTCTGTTCACTCTGGTGCTCTCCGCTTTCTCTCTCCCCAGGGGTTTGCCTTCCCTGGTCCCCTGGCTCTGTATCTTGCTGTTCCTGGACATGGTCTACTGACCCTAAATCTGGCCTTCAGCCTCCCCCATAACCACATTCATACCTTACAGGTGGGTCTTCCTTCACTGAAATCTCTCACCTTCCTTGGGCTAGAGCCCAATGGGTGCCTGGCCCTTGCAAGGCTATTTCCCCAACTGCAAACTTCCCTGGGCCCCTGACCTTATCTGCACATCAGCTCAGCCAGCTCCTTTTGCCTTCTCTGCTTCAGCCCACTCCATCCACTGGACCCCTGGTCCTAGCAGGCCTCTCCTTTTTTGGTTCTAGCTACTTGGCCCACTGGACCCCTGGTCCTTACAGGGCTTTTGCCAGGGCTTCTGCCCCTCAGCCCACCAGATTCCTGGTCCTTGCAGGGCTTTCCCTCACATCCTCAGCCCTCTGGGTCCTTAAACCTTGCACAGAGTGCCTCCTAGGCACCCCCTGTGGCCTCCAAGCACCCTTGTAGCTATTCCTAAGCCTCTGATCAAACAGCAAGATCAACAACTGAATAACATAAAACTACCTGCATAAGTAGTTACAGAACTACTCCCACCAGAGTTTCTTCTCAGCCAAGCATGGGCCAGTCTGAAGCTCTATACCAGAACCCAGGTTTATTGGCCTTATACTCCACCCCTTTCCACTCACCTGCCCTCTGATCCTCTGAAAAGGTTTTTCCCTTGTTTTCCTATTAGCAGACATATTGCTTTAACCTGCCTCTCTACAACTTGCATCTGCTACTTATCTCTCTTGCTAACAGGCTCACTGCTTTGCAACTAGCCACCCTGGCAAGCTGTATCCCATAACCTGCCACTGTAGCACTGCACTGACTCACTTCCAGGAACAATGGTTTGACAGCCCCACTGGTGACTGCAGTAAGCAGAGTGCTGGTGTAGGCAGTGCACTGGTTGCTGCTGATGTTTTAAAGCATCATTTTGTGTGACCTGGCTGACTGCTAGGATGGATGATGAGCAGCTGTTTGACTCATGTGAAGCGGAAAGCTGCTATTTACACACAGAGTGCCTCTCGCTGTTGTCATTCAGCTGAGATCATTCAGCCGCGCACAGCTTCAAAAGGCAGCTAGTGAAGGGCAATTTGTGCCCTTGTGTTCTGGGTGGAATGGGATGGATTTTCTTTAACAGTGTGTGAACAGTACAATGTTTTAAAGAACTAGACAGGCTAGCAATGCAATGGTGTGTCCTTGACTCTCTGCCCTGCTTCTAGTCTTCTCTGAGCCCTACCTCAGGACTGCTCAAACAGGACTTCCCTAGAAGCACTGATATGTTTAGTCCCCCAATGCTAGCTAGAATGCAGCTACCTGGCAAGAATGTGATAGAAGTAGGTGAAAAAGGTCTGAAGAAAGTGTGCAAGGTCATATTGTAAGGGACTGCTAAATTATTTCCAAGATGTTAAAATCATCTCTAAAATGAGTATTGCAGCACCGTACCTGGACATGTAACACTGTTAGCTCAGGGCAGCAACACGTCTTTGGCTCCCTCAGAGCTATCTGAAAGGGTGGCTCTTCTCTACATTGATAACCTCATCTCTCAGCAACTCCAGAACAAATGGCCTCAGTTTACAAGGAGAACAGAAATATTTTTTTTTTTCTAAGTGCCTGCCCTGCAAGCTGAGCCAGGCCTCTGAAAGCCAAGCTGTGTTTTAACTCTTCTCACACACCACCACTGAGGAACAGTGCTCTCAGTGACACTTTCACATGCCACTGCCTGCCACAAATGGGTATTGACCATTGGAACTTAGTACACAAGAAAGAGCAGACATCAACCCCAGGACCTGAGAGGTGGGGAGCAAATCGG